GTTCCAGGAAATGACAGTCTCAGGGGCTGGTGTCCAGGAATCCATGGGGACAGGTGTCTCCACCCTTTGGAGCACAGACGTGACTCTGACAGTTTACCTCATGGCCCTGGGTGCTCCTGCCTGGATCTGTTGTCCTCATCACTGGCCAGCAACAGATTTGCAAATAATTACGTAGAATTATGTTTGATGGGAATATGAGGCATCATTACCAGCTGGGCCACAGCCAACATGCAGAGAGAACTCTGTCATTGTGGGTTTCAGTAGGAAAGACAGGAATGTGACCCTGATGCACGATGGCCTCTATGCAGGGCTTTCAGAAGGAAGAACACTCTCCTAAGGGGCACGGGAAGGAGAGCAAAGATGGATAACAGATCCATCTAGCCTTCTAGCCATCCATCCATCCATCCATCCATCCATCCATCCGCCCTTTCCTTTTCCAAGTAGTAACTGAGTGCCGTGTGTGTGTGTGTGTGTGTGTGTGTGTGTGTGTGTGTGTGTTTAGTTATTTTCTCATTGCTGAGACAAAATACCCTATACCCAAAGTGAAAGGAGAAAAGGTTTATTTAGCTCACAGTTTGTGGAGGTTTCAGTCTATACTCAGCTGACTCCAAGGCGGGGCGGGGGGCATGGCAGAGGGGCATCACAGAGGAGAAACAGTTTGTGGCAAAGCAGTGCAGGCAGAAGGGAGGAAAGTACCAAACCAGCAAGCAGTGAAACAATAGAAGCTGTGAAAACCAAGTCTGCCTTTATATTTCATTCAGGTCACCTGCCCTTTGGGCAGTGCCACCCACGCCACTAAGGGTAGGGCACTCTTAATCCTAGCATCACACCCCTAATCCTAGCATTACACCCTAGATCCAGCCACCTCCCAAAAGCCCCCACCTATGACTGCATAAGGCTTCGTGGAGAGGGGGGCATCTAGCTGCAAGTCATAGCAGTGTGCCAACTTGGATTAGCAAGAATAGAAATTAATGCAAAATGTGTTGGGGTACCGATGGCCTATGTTGCAATGCCACTCATTGCATGTGCAAAGGGAAGCCCACTTTCTTGCTCTTGGTGAGGAGGTGGGACATTGTTTGCAAAGTAGGGTACTGTGGGAAGGGAAGAAAGCATGAATAGCTACCTGCCAGGTCAGGTTCATTGCTACAGTCATGGTGTGCTGCAAGTGGGAGCCATGCTCTTGTCCCACTGAGGAAGCTGGGAAGGGAGATCCTTGGCTCCTGTAATCTCATCACACCACCCACTTCTGCTCCTGGATCACTTGGAAAGTGGCCCCATCTCGGCATCTGGATAGCCAGTGCTGTAACAGCCCCACTGTACTGTCAGGAAAGAGCTGGAACTAAATAAATCCTAGCTCTCTAGCCAGACCATGAAAGACATGTAGTTGTCTCCTTCTGTCCCCTTACCTGGCAGAGGGTTTCTTCACGGGCACCTCCTCTGACTTCTCTCTCTGGTGGGCTGCTGCCTTCCCAAGAGCACAGCCCTCCATCTTAGCACAGGGGCTGAAGTGGTCTTCAGGCGTGGGTGCTGTGACAAGTTTGGAGCTTACCTGATGAAAACAGGAATTGTAGCCTTTGCACTGGGGCCCATTTGTTCCAGGTATACCTCAGTTACTGTGCTATGTGCAATCTCATTTTTATGTCTCTAAAAGCTGCCTCTCACTGTCATGCAAAAAAAAACCTGTACAAGCATGAACAAAGACAAGGGAGACAGGAAGGAGGAGGCCATTGGGATCCCCCAGAAAAGAGGTGCTGGATGACACACAGGTAATTAGAATCTGTAGGTAAAGATGAGGACACCGGGTAGAGAAGGACAGAGGTGAGAGAGGACTCTCAGGTTCCGGGCCTGAACAGCTGGGAAGATGAATGCGCCATTCCCATACAGGAAGAGGGGAGAAGCACATTCTGGCCTGGGAGGGGGAATCAAGAGTTTAGCTGCAGAGAAGTTAAGTTGAAGGTGTCCAGCAGACAGTCCACCATCAGCATTCCTTCCCTTCCTTTTGGAAACAGGACCCTCCTTTTCCTTTGGGGCTCTGTCCATCCTCCACTGCAAAGGTTCTGATTGGGTTGTCAGTTAAATGGCCTCACTTCCCACAGCACACAGTGAGCATGATTCAGACTGGACCGTTGAAGACCCACTCAGCGGACTCTGTAGAATTGCAGGGTCATACGACAATTTTATGTTTAACTTCTTAAGAAACAGCCTGAATGTTTTTTTTAAAAATAGTTGCACCACCTTATATCACCTCCAACAATATATGAGGGTATTATAATCCCTTTTCCAGTCGTCCTCACAATCCAAATAATTGTAATCCCATTGAGATGTTATTGGAATCCCAGCAAGTTAATTCCAATCTACCATCTCCAATGCAACCCACGGTGAGAGTAAAGACACCAGACATATTCAAAATTAAAGGAAGCCAAGGAGTCCTAAACCCAATCCCCATGAGGATGTGCGGACAAAGGCCCTGATCCTAGGTCTCTCCCAGGATTTATGATGTTGTGAAGAAGGGGGTGGCTCAGGGATGCGTGACAGTGAGGATGGCGGGAGCTACGTGAGTAACCTGAGCTGGCTGGCCAGGTAGGGAGAAAAGCATCTCTGAAAAATGCAGGGATAATGACAAGCAGAAGGATCAATCTGTGTAATTCAATTAAGGCAGCAGTGAATTGTTTTTGGAGGCTGTTGCTTCACTTTCTGATGCACAAAGTTTTATGCCCTGGAGACCTGTAGCCTCCCTACCTCAAGGTTCATACCCAGCTGCCATTCCTGGAGCTGACCGGCTCTACCATCCGGCTGTGCCCATATCTTTTACAGAGTACTTTTGCGAGAAAACAGGGAACTCTCTGATGGCTTTAGAGATTAGATAACAGTACCAGGCTAGCCTTATTTGTAATACTTACAGCCAATTGAAGAGAGAAGGAAATACCATAGTCAGCTCTGTACATATCAGTATAAGGAAATAAGCCTTGATATAATCAAAGTCTCAGCAGTTGTTCTGCATTCAAGGAGAGTCACTCAAACTGTCTCCTACATGAGAGTTCCAAATTTTCTGGATTCCCTTCAACACTTGTTATAATTTGCTTTTTTATTAGAGCCATCCTGAGCATGTGGAATGGTATCTCACTGTGATAAGGCTTTTCAGGGAAATGTCTTTTCAAATTCCTTTGCACATTTTCAGAGTTGGATTATTCATCTTCATAATTATTACTGAATTCTAAAAGTTCTTTATATATTCTGGGTGAAATCCTTTATCAGACACAGATTTGCAAATATTTTCTTCCATTTCACTTTCCTGATGCTGTTCTTTGAAACACAAAAATTGGGGCTGGGGATTTAGCTCAGCGGCATAAGCACCTGCCTTGCAAGCAGGCAGTCATGAGTTTGATCCCTGGTACCGATAAAAACGAAAAAGACAAAAAAAAAAAAAAAAAAAAGAAAGATAACAAAAATTTGTTATCTTGATGAAACCCAATTTAAATAGTTTTTGCTTGCATTTTTGGTATAACTCTGCAAAATAACTGTATAGCATAAGGTCATAAAGCTTTATATTTTTAGTTCTTAGTTTGGATCTATCATTATTTTGAGTTAATTTTTTATGCAATATGAGTGCTTGTAACCTTCTAATATGAATTTCCAGTTGTCCCAGCACTATTTACTAAAAAGAATATTTTGTTCCTTATCAAACTGTATTGGCACCTTTGTTGAAAATCAGTTAATCATATATACAAAGGCTTATTCCTAGACTCTCAATTTTATTACACTGATCTATAAGATTTTGTTGATGATAGTACCACATTAGCATTATAGCTTTGTAGTTTGTTTCAAAAATTGGGTGTGTGAGTCTTCTTACTTTAATCTTTTTGTTTTTCATGGCCTTTTCTAGGTCTTTGGCAATTCCACATGAATTTTAAGGTTAATTTTCAACTTATACCAAAAAAAAAGGCAGGTAGATTTTAATAGGAGCTGCATTGAATCTGTGATCATCTTCAGGAGCACAGCCATTTAAACAATATTAAATCTTCTGATCCGTGAACACAGGCATCTTTCCATTTACTCTGGTCTGTAATTTCTTTTAATAATGTTTTATAGTTTTCAGTATGCAAATCTTCAACTTCTTTTGTTAAATTTACTCCAAGCTTTGTTATTTTCATTACGATTGCAAATAGGCTTTGCTTTTAAATTCAATTTTTGAACTGTTATAGTAAATTTTTTAGGGAAATTAGTTAACAAAAGCCCACAAGCCTGGCCTGTATAACTCTAGGATTGCTCAAATCTTAAAAAGAAATCCTGAGACACCAAACATGCCCTGCATGTTTGGAAGTAGCTGTGAAAACTTGACTCTCACCAACCTGTAAGATGTTCTCCAGCATCCTCTCCAGCTGTGACCCTGCAGGACAAAACACAAGCAAGAATGTCTTTGATCCAGGGGCCACAGGGAAATGGGCAAAGGACATGTCTCTGAGTAGTCAGCTTCAAGACAGTCCCCTGAGAGGCAGCGTCTTTGGAATTCTTGCCCAGTGAGATCTGCTGATTGCTATTTGCCTACTATCTGCTTTCCATTCCAAGTGGTGCTTTAACTGTGGTTAACCAGTTCTTTCTTCTTATTGTATATTATACATGTGTTGGTGGCTGGTGGAGGGGCAAACAGATGACTTGTCTTTCAGTTCATATGTCACTGAACCAATATCAGAACTTCATATAAAGATTAGGTAAGTGCCACGAGGGCCTGGACTTTGAGCTGGTTGCAGTAATGGATAAGGTCTTGTGGGCTTTGAAATTGGGGGAAAGGATTAGCAAGTTTCACATTAAAGAAGAGAGTAAACATTTACTTAGGTGACCAAAGGCACAGATTGTGACAAAGATCATGAGTTTTTTTTCCAATATTCATTCTCCTCTGCTTTGACAGTGGTAGAATATTTAACTGGACACACTGATACCCAGACTCTGCTTCCTGATTTTCCTCATGACTAGGTATCTCTTATGACCAATCTCTGAGTGGACATGGTACATGCAACTTCAGACCAGGCCTGAATGGGCACATCTTCTTCCTCTTTTCCCTTTCCTTCTGGCTGAATAGAAGTGTTGGCACTTTCCAGAGCACCTGCCTTGGAGGAAGCTCACGTGAAAGATGGCAGAGCGACACAGAAAAGAAGCTAACACAGTACCCCGCTTTCTTAGACACGGTCCGCCGTGGTTAACCTTCGTGGCTGGTACACTGGTTTGAGGTTCTTTGTTAGAACATGCCGACTCCCATTTCACCTAGCAAGAGCGTGCTTTTCTCTAAGGTGGGGGAATCTACATCATGTTTATGTGCTGGTGGAAATGATCCTCTAAGAGGGAGAGAGTGAGGGGACCACCAAGGAGCAGAGTCCTTGACAGGATGAAAAGAAATGGGACCCAGAGAACAAGTGATGGAGTTTTTCTTCAAGTGTAAGAATTGGGATGCTTCTTCCATTGTACAAGGAATAATAAGACAAGATCTGTGCAAGTTCAGGGAGATTCTAGATTCTGTGGTGGGGTGAAGAGGGGTATTTGAATACTGTATTTGCATGAGATCATTGTAATGACACTTCATGGATGCCCCCATCCTTGGTTCCCTGATATTCTCATCATTGGTCCATGCATGGTTTATGTTATTTCATGATTTGTTTTTAACGTCACAGTGAGTACCTGCAAAATCACCACCTCAACAAGTGCCTCGACAATGACTTACATCTCCCCAGTGTTCCCTCTCACGCCCTTCCTCTGTCTCAAGGTACAACCTTCCCCTGTGTACAACCTTCCCCTGCTCTCTTTCCACCTAGTTTTATTGCATCTCTACATATTTCCAAAAATATATCAATGTATGTTTATATTAGTTGTTTTAACCTCTTTAAAAAGGTATCATTTTCCATGTAGTCTTTTAGGGCTTATATTTTTGCTTACTTGTGTGTTTCTAAGATTCACCCATATTGCTAAAGTTCATTTGTTTTACCTTCTGTCCAGTAGTCCTTTGTGTGAATGGACCACTTTCTTCATGCAGAAGAAATGGACTTTTAGCTGGAAAAGGAGAGAAGTAAAGGTCAGCAGAAGCTGATGGACAGAGAGGCGAATTAATCATTGGGCTGGAGGCTCTCAGGAGACCCTTGGACCATGGAATAGAAAGATTTGGAGGTGGTAGATAACTAGTAGGAGATAAGAATTTCTGGTTTCAGAAACAGAGAGGCTTTGGATCATCATAAATTCTTCAGGGGTAGATGTGGCAATGGATATAGATAATGCCAGGATGCTCGGACATGAGAGTGAAGGAAGCAGGTGGATACAGATCACTGCATTTGTCTTGGACACTGGCAGAAGGTGGGATGGAGAAAAAGAAAATGGAACAGGAGCAGGTGAGTTCGTTGGTGAGGGGGCAAGGCTGAGAGGCCCGCAGATGACAGAGACAAAGAGCCAGGGGCAAAGCAGGAAGCAGAAATGTCATTGGGAGGGGGTTTATGAGAGCATGGGAGTAACAGGCTGGAAATGACAGCGACAGATAAACACAGAACTTCCACCTTTCATCCCTGATGTGTGGAGGACGTAAGACCAAGTCATGGTCCCCATGAGAGGGCTGCATGGAGGTTGCAACTCCAGGTGTGGAGGAGGAAGACACACCCCAGGAAGAGGTCAGAGATGCAGGGGGAAAGTATGGACTATGGTCCAAGAGCCCCAGGGAACCTTTTATGATAAGTGCAAGGGTACCAGCCAACAAGCCACACAGCATGTCGGGAGTTGGCTGAGGCAGGAGGGAGGTGTCCCAGGACTCACGAATGGTCAGCTGTGTCCTGTTTCACAAGGTAGGGGCAGCTGCATGTTTCTCACAGTGGTGTGGCTGTGGAAGGTCAGTCTTTGTCATCTTGCCTCCATGCCACTGTGTCACTAACCCTGTTTGTTTCTCAGGCTTGACCTACTTCATGGGAAGGAAAGCAAACAAATCTTCCTTGGGGAAAGCAAACTGTTCCTCCACTGAGTCCAAGGTTGGTGTCAGAGGAAACTGGGGCAGAGGATCATCTTGTTTAACAATGGGGAGACCTCTCATGTTGGCTTCTGTTCTGCTATCTCCCACTGGCTAATCCAAATCGCTCTCTGAAGAGTCTTCTCATCCCACCCTGAGGAGAGAGGCGCCATCTTGCTTCCTGGGGCATCTCCATCTAAGGGAGGAGGTTTGGAGGAAAAGAAGGAATAAAACCAGCCCCTTGGGAACCAAGGAAAGCTCTGAAAGAGAAATAAACTTGGCTGCTACTGTTCTTAAACATAATCAGCATAAAAAGAAAGGAAGAGCCCAGCCCAACCCCAGCCTATGTCTTTGTGATCTGAGGCCATATTTCCCTTGGGATTTCCCCAAATGGGCTCGACTTGATTATGCGTCTGTAATGTAAAAAAGCTTGGAATGAGGGTGCCGGTGAGGGACCCGCAGATGCACCACCATTCAGTTCTTTTCTATGCCTCATGTCCTGTACTAACTTAGAACATGACACACCCATTCCCTTTCCCTATCCAGGGACCCAGGACCCACCAACACGTTGCTTTCATGGTCTCCTGCCCTTTGTTTTTGAAGATCTGGGTGGGACCCAGGGATGGAGCATTCCAGGTGCAGGACAAGAGGCAGTTAGAAGCAATATCCCCCAAGTTCTCAGCTTTTGGCAACTATGTGCCACATAGGGGGAAGTGCTGTCTGCTGGGTTAGCCCTTACACTAAAAAAGAGGACACAGCTGCCATCCTCACAGAAGATATTTCTCCATGACTCCAGCATCCAGTGGTCTCCAGTCTGATGAGGGAGTCATGGCTTCCATTCTATAGGAACTCCTGACCTGAGGCAAAGACTGGTCCATACAGGGACCAGTACAGGGAATATACAGGGAAGTAAGATAGACAGGGAAAATGGAAATAAAACTTGGTGAGGGAGCGCTGATCTGGCAGAGGTCACACTGCAAACAGTGGCTAGTCACAAGCAGAATTTTCAGGGTTTGGGTGGAGGAGGTATTCGAGGGCAGAGAACAAGTTTGTTCATCATGCAAAAGACTGTTTTCTAGACTACAGCAACAGGTGTCAAAAGAAGGTCCCAAGAAGAATTTCTTAGGGTGTAGAAATATTATAACAAAGACTCAAAGTAAGAGTAGTTCTTTCCTTTTGCATAACAGTCCAACATAAATAGTTAGAGGCCAAAGCAGCATTTGGGAATCTGTCTTCTTCTAACGTGCTGCAGTGCTGTCCTTGTGCTCTTGTAAATTGAGTGACCATCACACAGGATTCTACCCCATATCAAGTGGGGCAAAAGAGGTGGACTCCTTCTCTGTAGGGGAACCCTCAGGAAGTAGCACACATAGCTTTTGCTCACATTCCATTGGCTAGAACAGTTAGTCACGTGGCTAACCTTATTTGAAAGGGAGGCTGGGAAGTGTAGTGTTTCGTGTCAGGCGGACACACATCCAGTAAACGCCTTTTGGTCTGTGGGAGAAAAGAGAAGACTGTTACGGTGCCAATCAGCAATTCTCCTGCTTTAAAAGTGCACATAAGGGGACTGGGGATTTAGCTCAGTGGCATAAGCGCCTGCCTTGCAAGCAGGCAGTTGTGAGTTTGATCCCTGGTACCGATAAAAACGAAAAAGACAAAAAAAAAAAAAAAAAAAAAATGTACGTAAGGATGTTCTTGTTTTTGTCCATCCTGTCCCCTGTCCCCACCACAGGTAACGCAAAGGACTCCCTCTGGGAAAATTAAAGTAAGGCATCCTCCTGAATGTAGTAACTGGCCTAGAACTGGGCACATGGGTTAAGTGGACTCAAGCTGACCTTTCTAGCCAAAGCTGATAGCCGATGTGGCAATTTCCTTTATGATCATGAGAATATGAGGATGCAACCCTGAGCTGACCACAGTTATCTATCTTCCCCGCAGGGAGATAAGGGCTGGGTGGGAGTGCAAAACCCATCTGCAGCAGAAAGGGTGCAGTTAGCCTCTGAGGGATTTGAGGAGAGGTGACCTTGTCCTAGGCCTCCTTGGGGGCTGCTCCACTCCTGCCCTAGCTGGACCATTTCATCAGTAGCGCCTTCTCACCAAACTGATTTTAGTTGAGTTTGGGTCACTTATAGCCCAGTCCTGATTAGTGCTTAAGGTGTTTTTATTTCCCTGGGAGGATGAGTGGACCTGCAGGAGAGGGAAGAGGAGAGGAGGCACAGGTGAGATTGAGAACCTAGAACAGCATGTGGCCCCACCATCTGTCTCTTTCTGCTGCCCTTTTGCCCTGCAGCACCTTAAAGTTCCCACAGGGAGCCTGGCAGGCAGCTGGCTGGGCTTCTCAGCTTCCCCACCCAGCCTGCCAGCACCCTCCCTGCGGCCTGCTCCAGCAGGTCCAGCTGTAAGGAGGGAGCCACGGGGCTCTTACAAAGGGCCCATTCTCAGCGGTGCAGCTGTTATCAGGTGGACCTGAACTCTGAATCACCTGCGTCTGGGGCAGCTGCGGGTGAGGCTGCTGCACTCACCTCTGGGCATCCCTTGCCAGGATCTGCGAGTGGGGGGCGGGCACTCAATAGAAGCCCATTGTTTTCTGCCTCCTCAGCGGCGAGGCTCTGGCCCAGGCCTTCCTGAGCCTCTTGTCTGCTGCTGCCACTTACCTTGGCTGCCATGCCTCTAGCACCATCCCACTGCTTTGGAGCACAGCCACATTAACTCCTTGGAAACCAGGGTTGTGGCTGAGGACGACATAACTTGCCAGCGCCTGGGATTTCCTCAAGTGTGGCCAGGAGGCAAGCCAGTCTGCACCCCACTTGCTGAGGCCTCCTGGGGGCTTCTACCAGCAACCAAGCTGTCTTGAGCTTGTGGTGCCACCTGGTGGCCTGCCTTACAACTATCTGGGCGGTGAGGTCACTTACGGAGAAGATTGTTACCCAGTTGGCTTTATCCCACCATGATGCGCTCCATTCAGCTCTTCCCCAGGCTCTCTTTAAAATCCCAAATGACAAATCCCTGCACCTCCCTCCTTCAGCCCCAGTCCTCCAGCTGTTTCCTCACAAGGTGCGGTCCACATGGCGTGTTCTGTCCACTCAACCGGTCTCAGGGACTGAGGTAGGGGCTGGAAGCCAGAAAGATTATTGAATAATAAAGAATAGAGGCTTCAAGTGTCTAACATCCTTGAAGAGCACTTGGGAGCTCCCTTCAGAAAACCCCACCACTTCTCCATACTGCCTCGAAGAAATCTGTGCTCCTCCAGCTTTCAATAAAAAGCAGGCTGAAGGTGTGAGATGTGCACAATTAGCTTTTTCATTCTTATATGGCCATCTTGGAGATGGGTCAGGTCATCTTGGAGATGGTCAGGCACTTAGGACTTGAGCCCTATTCCTACACAGAGCCCTCAAGGTTCTGTTGGCTCCTTGTTGGGGCCCCCAAACTACTGCCCCAAAGCAGTTTTGAAACATAACCCATTGGTAAGTTGGGACAGCTTTCCAGGAGATACTCACAGAAAGATATAAAGAAGCTTGGCAGGACAAGACAGTGAGTGGCTGGCAGGCTGGACATCCTACCTGTTACAGTTCAAATCTAGAGTGTTCCCCTCAGGCTCCTGCATTCAGAGGCGGATTAATCCACTGAAGAGCTCAGAGCTGAATGTGCTGCTAGGAGGTGGCCCTGCTTGGAGGAAGCTGGGGTGTGACCTGGAAGCACGCATCTCTCTCCCAGGCTCCTCCATCTCCTCTGCTTCCTGGATGCATGGTGAGCAGCTCTCAGCCCCCAGGCCTTTCCACCATGGCATTTCTTTGTATCTTGCACCAGCTGACCATAGATTTAAAACATGAGCCAAACTAATCCTCTCCTTTAACTTATGGGTGTCAGCTGCTCTGTCCAGCAGTGAGAACGTGACTGAGACACCACCAAACCGATATTCACTTTCTTGGACATAGCAGAAGCAATTACTGTTTGGAGATGTGAGGGTGCAGGCAGGGAAGAGGATTCGGGTTCACGTCCCCCCACCTCTGAGCATCCTTGATCAGACCAGCAGAAGCTCTGTGAGATGCTGACCACTCCTGAGAGCAGACTGCCCGTATACCAGTCCACTCGTTCGGAATTCCCTGCCCCTCCACTTCAGAGAGCTCATCTGTCCCTCAGAGGAGAGCAGACACGGTCTCCTCTGTTGCCGTGTACCTCCAGGGATGTCAGAGTGCCTGGCAAGCACAGCACCCAGTGCCATCTCATTTACCCATCCTGTGCAGAAATCCCACTGTCTCCATTCCACCTGGTGACGTGGAGGCCAAGGCCGCCTAGCATAACTGCCTGAGAGGGCCCCGGCTCTGAACTCAGGCTTATTGTGTTCCAGTCCACTCTCCCCCAGCCCTGCCAGAGGAAATGGAAAGGAAATGGCATTGAAAGCAGGAAGGTGGAAGCTATGAGAGATATAAGAGGTTAAGGTTCAAACAGGGAGATAAACAAGCTGAGTCAGACCCCACCGGCAGCCAAGAGAAAGGCTGGGCGCCCTGCAGTCCCACAAAGCAGCCTGTGATGGGCAAAGGGGCCCAGCACAGGCTCCCAGAGTGTTGGGGGCTGCAGAATGCAGCCAGCCCAGGGCCCCTTCTCCACTCCAGATATAGTAGTGATGCCCACTGAAAGGACAGGCAGGCTGGGGGTGCCCAAGAGATTTTGCTGGGAGACGCCCTTTTGGCCTAGATTGGGGGCCACAGAAAGCCACATAGGCCAGGAGAAATAGTGATGCTGGATGCCTGGAAGTCTACTCTTCCATCTCTCCAGCACCCAGCCTAGTCCAGCCCATCCCAATCCAGTCCTGTTCCAGGGCCCGGAAGGGTCTGGTGGCTGGTCCTGGTTCCGCCAGCAGAGGGCTCCAGAGCAGAGCACAGGAGCACGGGATGGGGGAGGGGACTCGGCCCGCTCAAGGCTCAGGCGCCATGTGCAGAGGTGCTCATGGCTGCATAGGGTGTCTGTGTTTCTGTACGCCCTCTGGGTGCGTGTGAAGCAAGTGTCTGCATTTGTGGGTTTGTTTCTACACACATGAGCGTGGCTGCTTGTCGGTGGTGGGTGTGCATGAGTTTGTGTGTGTGTGTTCCTGTTTTTTCTTTGCACATGTCAGCACTGTTTGTAGTGCTGCGTGTATATGGGCGCACTCTGGATCCTGTGTGATGTGTGTGCCTATGGCCTATTCTTGGGCTTGTGAGGAGAGAGGAGAAAAGGAGTGGCTGGGTGCAGGATTGGCAAAGCTAACATCCTCACGGTGTCAAGGGTGTGAGGGTCTCCATATGTGCCACATCCCAGCCTGGTCCTTCCTGCCCTCACTCGGCACAACCCTGAGTTGGTCTGTTGAAACTCCGTTTACAGGAAGTGTCATCAGTTCCCAGGAACAGAGGCCCTCTGGAGTTCTGTGTCTCTCTGTCTACTCTGATCCTCTCCTTTGTAGCTGGGACAAGATTCTCGTCACGAGAGGGAGTAGAGCTCCAGGTGTGGGCAGAAGGTGGGGAGCTGCTCATGGCTGGCTGTCCCACGAGTGGAGACAGATACTCCCTGTGAGGGCATCACTCCAGCCAGGACTAGCTCTCTACCAGGCTGTGGGGAGAGGCCAGAAAGAAGGCTCCGCTGCCCAGTGATGGGTTGAAACTGTTTGCAGCAGGGCGTGGGGCAGACTGTGGGGGTCCTCCTGCCACGGGAAACTGTGTTAGTTTCCTGTGGCAGCTGTAACAGTCATCAAAAAAGAGCAGCTTACAATACACATCTGTAAATCTACAGTCCTGGAGGCAAAATCCAAAATCGGCATCATGGGTGATACGAAGGGGTTGGCAGGGCCGGTTCCCTCGGGAAGCTCTAGGGAAAATCTGCTTCCTGGACACATCCAGTTTCTAAAGGCTGCTGCACTCCTTGGCTTGTGGCCCCCGTCTGTCTTCAGAGCAAGCTGCACAAAACACCTCTAAAGCTCTGCTCTCATGTGCTCTTCTCTGTTTTGGCTTTCTGGCCTCCCTCTTTAGGAGAACTCGTGATGACTGAGTGCTTCAGCCAGCCCAGAGGACTCTTCTATCTCTAGATACTTGATATAATCACATCTGCAAACTCCCTTTGCCTGGAAAGTAACACACTCCTGGGTTCCAAGGATGGGGACATCTGTGGGGGGCATCATTTTCATTTCCAAAGAGGGCATCCAGAGACCTCGGAAAAGGAGACACATTTTACCCCTGTGTGGCTCCCAGAGGCCCTTTTGGCCGCAGCAGTCTGCAGGACTGAGCAGACCTGGGCCCCAGGAACCTGGGTCCCCCCATCCCAGCAGCCCAGTTACCCACTATTCCCTGGCTCAGCCTCCCTCGTCCCTCACAACCTGCCCCATGCACTGTGTCCTCTTTTGAAGGGGCTCCTCACCAGCACCCCCATTTCCCTTTCCCTCTGGTCTGTTTCTGCTCTCCTCCCGGCCCCAAGTGCTGTGGGGCTCCAGGCTTCCAGCTTTATGCCTCCCGGCCTTCTCCATGCAC